CTTTGTATTATGATGTTGGACTGCAATACATGAATCAAATGGCCACAGTTCACATCTGCATAGGAACATGATCACAGAAACCCTGTACTTGTAACAAGAATATTTACAGAAACACAATCACACAGTAAAGTTCACAGTTGTTCAGTATACTGGTCAACATTTTGGTCCGCCAAACCGGTTTTCTGTATATAACAGTAAATGATTACAGAATATTCAGCAACAAATAATAAGCCTGAGAACATGTACTTGTACACCCCCTTCCCAAAGAGTTAGTGAGTTTGGTTTTATGCTGCTTTTAGCAATATTTCTGCAACATCATGGCGGGGGACACCAGAAATGGGTCTTAGACATTGTACCCATGTGGGGAATCAAACCTGGGTCTTCGTGTGATGAGCGAAGGCTTTAACCACTAGACTATGCCACCGTCCCCACTTCCCAAAGAAAAATTTACATTGAAAGCCACAAAAACACATGGACTCTTTGGTTAGATATTTTCATATCACTTTTAACTAGTCAGGAAGAGGGGCGCCGCCTGCAAAATAATTTGGGAAGGATTAGTTTATGGTGTACATCTCTTGGCAGGACTGGTAAAGACAGAGAACGGTTACTGGTAACTTCAGTCAAAGTGGAGGCACTGTGACCATGGTGACAATGCTGCGTGACAGGTGCAGACATATTGTTCTGAGATCCTGAACCAAGAACAGAAATATATATTTATGATTGGATCAGAACTCTAACTCATAAACAGACAGAATGACGAGTGAAAACCATTGTTCAAAGCTCAAACAATAACAAAATTTCTTTGCCAACAAAATGCCTTTCATGATCAAAGTCGTAACAAACACAACAAAAGGCACACTTGCATACATAGGGCAGAGAGTCACAGGCACTGGTTAGTTATGTAATAATAGTAACAAACAGGACAACTAGGCTACATGTATTGGAGTGAGTGAGTGAGTGAGTTAAGATTTAAAGTCAATATTTCAGCCATATCGTGATATACATGTATTGGAACACACACTATGAAGAAATGACTTTGCTGAGCATACCATAGTCCAACAAGGACATTTAACACAACCTGGACTGTGATTTATCTTATCTTCCAAAGCTCCAGATTCTGATTAAGTGCCGCGAGCCAACACTTGGAGTTTGGAGACTGTGCGCTATAGAAGATGCCTTATTATAAGTGCTCTGGGCAGCGGAACTGGGAAAATATTGTTATACTGTCCTAAAAATGTAATTACTTTACGTTCATATTTTCTTAATTTGAAGTGTATGTAAAATCTAAATTTGGAACTTTCACTTAGGCAATTTCTGCCTATAAGAAGGCACGATCAATCTCTGCCAGAACACATACAAGCCATGCAGACATCATGGTTTATTCAACAAACAAGCAAATCCATGTATTTTCATCCTGTTGACAGCATAACTGCAGGATTCCCAGCTTATATAACAACATCAATATCACAGCGATCACCTCCAACATAAACCCTCGTGACTGTTTTCACAAAACAATTATGACTTTTCTCAAAGGGTTCAAGTAAAGAAACATTGAGAAACTGAATGAATCCAATAAACTCCAACAGAGTTGCCTGGTCCTCCAGACAACATTGGGAATTTCACAGAGGCCAGTTTTTTTTCAAAACTAGGTTTACAATTCTGCAACTCAAACATATTGAAACATGAAGAAAAATATTGATAAAATGCACTACTTAAATTCAAAGTACCAAAAATGAGTGAAAAACCCTGACACCACCAACTCCCCCCACCCACCCCTCAATCATTTACTCTTGATATCAAAATAGAAAAATTGAAAGATTTATCTTAAAAAGGCGGTCCCCCATGTTTATTTCCCCTCCTAAATAACCGTTTGAGGAAATCAAAGCGACTTATTGTAATTTGTTTTTTTTTAATACTGTTTACCTACCAACATTAACTTTTGGGCTTAAGACCCGTAAACCTACAAGGAAAGAAGTCCAGCCTGAATACAAGCAATGTATAACGTATTATGCTGCCCATGAAAGGATGTGCCACAGTAAATCTGTTATGCCAGTCATGACATTCACATATCAAGTGATAGAAACAACCTCAATTTCATCAGTCATAGCCAATAGCAAAGTTAGCATCAGTAAATAATAGCAATATGTCATGGCAGATACACCTTAAGGAATGTGAAAAAAAGATATCTCAACCCAGTATACATTGTACAAACATCACTTTTCCTTATATTAACATAAATAGTACTTTAGAATCAAATTATCAGTATTCGTATTTGATCCAAACTCGTAAACAGACCAACAGGAGCAAACACAGTCACTGCTGAAGCTAGCATCAGCTACTATCAGTATAGGGAAGGGTCATAAAGCATGACATTTGATGGAGGTCACTTTGCCTCTTCAAAGAATGGCCTGAAACTAATGTACAAGCACATGGAGAGGGTCAATGACTGAAGAAAGAATGAGTGAGTGATTGAGTTTAGTTTCACACCGCTTCTAGCAATATTCCAGCAATATCACGGTGGTGGACACCAGAAATGGGCTTCACACACTGTGCCCATGTGGGGAATTGAAACCGGGTCTTCGGCATGATGAGCGAACACTTTAACCACTAGGATACTCCACCGCCCCCCAAAAAGAAATGTCATAACACCAAGTTAGTGTGTAAAGTATCTGTCAAGCAAACGTTAAATGTATTACAGAAACAGAGTATTTTTTAAAAACAGTCTGAAACAGCTCCCTTGAAACAAATTCAGTGGAAGAAAGTTTGAGAAGGGTGAGGAGTATGATTGATGATTTAAAAGGAAAATGTCCCACAGTTCCTTATATGTATCCTTTGAACAAAATGTGGCACCTACAAAGTCACTCTCATTTTGTTTGGTTTTCAAAATTTCCTTCACGAAAAAGATGGTGCTGGTTGGTGCTTGTGTTTGATATCTGTTTTCATTATCTAAAACTTTCAGTAGACTGATCAACAAAGAAAATAGAGAATGTACATAACATACATGTATATTTTATATATTTCCCCTATATATATGTGACAGTTTGATATACTGTATATTCCTGTCAGCAATACTGTAAATCAAAGTGGTAATGGCCAATGACTAAAACTCTACACATTACATTATGTTCTGTACTTTCCTCTGATTATTTCCTATTTCCGACGAACTGTAATCATGTGTTGCAGTAGCAGAGATGAGATGAGCTGGGGTGTTCAAACATAACTCACAGATCTCGCTGATATCAACTATTTGAGCATGGCCAGTTTTCCTTCATATGTCTTCCATTTCCACAGAGTTTGAAATGAGAATATATAAATAAATGAAAAGGAACAGTTGGCATATTCTGGCAATTCAATACCAGTAAAATTACACAACAAAATTACACTTATTATTGCTTTCAATATAAACAGATTTTTAAATATTATTTGAAATGCATTTTTTACGGATTGAAAATAACATACTTATATCCTGAAACTTCAAAACACAAATGTTATAAAAATATTTGAAAATGGATTCTTTTTGAAATATCTAAATGCATATTTTGGCCAAAGATCTGTCCACTTGCTAAAAGAACTCTTGCATAATGCAAGATGTCAATCATTATGTGACAGTCTGACTACATCGACACACTCAGTGATGTTAAGTGAGTGAGTGAGTTTGGTTTTACGCCGCTTTTAGCAACATTCCAGCAATATCATGGCGGCGGACACAAGAAATGGGCAGTGATGTTAAGAATTCATGCTATGTCCTACACCTCCAGAACCACAGAAATCCTTGGATCAGCCTGTTGTAATATCAGTGCTTGTATTTTACACACATTTAAGTGAGTTTGGTTTTACACCGCTTTTAGCAATATTCCAGCAATATCACAACAGGGGACACCAGAAATGGGCTAACCACTAGGCTACCTGACCGCTCCAACATACACTTGAGGTCAATCTTCATTATGTCATGGCACATTATCAAACTGATTTACAGTACTTCTTTAATCCAAGTTTCCCCTACGACACCCACCATGGCACCACGCTGAGTACTACTGTAGCATCAGAAGATTTACTATCAGGGCTCCAGATAAATTTTCAACATCAGGAGTATGTACTCCTTACTTTTTCAATGCAGGAGTACTGGAAAACCGTAAGAGTACATTTAGAGTACCGTATTTAATGGAGTATCAGTAATCTTGTGTTTTGTTTCATATATGCACCACAACATTGCTACTCTTGTGTAAACAGGTCAATACACAATAAAACAATACTTTTTCAGATAAATACGTCTGTAAATGATTCTAAGACCGTACACCACTGCTGTAGTGCGTATCTGCTACGTTTTCCAAATTATTTCCTACCGTATCATGCACATTTTATATCCGTACATACGCCAATACGGTCCTTATCTACAGCCCTGTACTATTATGTCTCAATCCCTCAAACACAACCTGAGATTCTGTACATTTCTTCTGTATTTATAAGAAACATCTGGGCTACCTTATAACCATGGTAACTCAGTTTCAGTCATCCCAGCACATCACAGACTGCAATGTCATGGTGTTCATTCCCCATCAAACATATATTATAATTTTGTACAGAAGGCATACGTTAATGACGAATCTCAACACTCGTTTTCAGAAACAGCAAAATCAAAAACCAAAATGTCCATGATGCTGAAAAGATATGCTATGTAAAGGATGAAGGGCAAGACATCACTGAACTATCGTCCTCAAGTCCATAACACATTGTGTTATATGTATATACGTCCCTTGGTGTATATTGGTCCCTTGGTGTATAATGATGACTGACTGACTGAGTTTAGTTTTACAGCAATATTCCAACAATATCATGTGACACCAGAAATGGGCCTCACACATTGCACCCATGTGCTTTTACCGTGGTGAATAGCGCTTTAACCACTAGGCTACCCCGCCCTCATGCAATGATGATTTGTGTGAAGATGAGCATGTGGATGTAAGAATGAGGTGAGTGAATTAGGTTTTACGCAGCTTTTAGCAATATTCAAGCAATATCACGGCGGGGGAAATCAGAATATAGATAATGAGGGATGGCAGTTATGTTAAGCTTTGATTTATGAACATTTTCTTTATATAAGCACATTTAACTTAAATTACACATATTTAGGTTTTCAGTGATACTCATAGGTTGTTGGTTTTGTTGCAGGACCCCAGATATATTTTTGAGAATTTATGGTATTTAGAAAAGCAATCAGATGACAGATTATGAGCAATTTGATAAAGAGAAATTCTCTTTCTACCCAGATCACAATAAAATGAATGCGTAAACTTGGTATATCTGGAGCTCTGCAGTTGCCTCCAATGTGAAAATTAGTTGGCAAGAATCTACATGTTCAGCTTTGATTTCAATGTTAGTAGAAATGTCAATGCATGGAGGATGTTGTCCCCAAGCTACAATAGCGATGTCCAATATTGTAGAAAGTGAGGATCTTGGGTCCAGTCCATGGTTAGCATGATTGAGTCTACTGTTTCTGACTGAGTGGGTATTAGATGACCAGGAAGGATGACCAGCCTATGACTGTGGTAGTTCCTGAGTGTTAGTGAGGTGGTCCAGCTCCTCCTTGCTCTTGTCTGGCACCAGCTGTCGGAGGAGACTCGACAGCATCAGCAGCGAGTCATGCTGACCCAGCTCAGGCAGGTAGCGCTTGTTCCACACCATCTTGTAGATCTCCATCAACTCCAGGAGCCTACACACAGAGAAGATGATACTGACACAACTGTAACACCATCAGGTTATGAAGGGAATATGGTTCTCAAATGGAGCAGGGGAATGGAGGTTGTTGTGGCTTTTCCTTTTTAACTACAGCCAAGCACCGTAGTCGCGATATTCATGGGGACAAGAAAAAATATCGAGTTTTCCGAACTTTGAGACATCTGACCAGGGCATATCACCACATATCACTATGAAAGAAAACAAAACGCTTCTCAGTATGTTTTGATTTGCAACTATAATCCGTTATCAGTAGTGTTTAGTCATAACAGTGAGTACTTCCTAATTAATTCTTTATTAATTAATCCTTCTTAAATAACAAACAACTCAATTAACCCTAATTAGTTTGCACGACCACATCTCTTTGATTCATACCGCACCGTGTGTAAACGTGTGTAAACAACCTCCGTTCAGAGGGATACTTGCCCATATCGAATTTCTTTGCAAATATCGAGTTAAAAAGGTAATTTTGCTTGTTGGGACCATGACATTATATCGAGATATCCGAAATATCGAGACATCTGTATCGAGTTAAAAGAGCTAGAATAATGATAAATTGTGAAGAATTTTCCATGGACCGAGATGTTATATCGAGTTATCAGAGTTCAACACAACGGTGCTCGACTGTTTATAAAGTGGAGTAAGCTGTATTTGTGAGGTGTAGGTATGGATTGGTGTGGTGGTGTGGATTGGAGAGTGGATTGGTGATGGTTTGAAAGAAGCATGGGATGGACTGAGGTGTAATGGGACATGATGTGGATGTGAGTTGTGTGGGATGTATGATGTTAGGTATGTGTTTGGATGTACTGTCACATGGATATGGTGGGTAGGTGCTGTGTGGTGTGGTGTGGTGCAGAGAGTGGTGTGGTGCAGAGTGTGGTGTGGTGTGGTATGGTGCAGTGTGGTGTGATGTGGTATGGTGCAGAGTGTGGTGTGGTATGGTGCAGAGTGTGGTGTGGTGTGGTGTGGTGTGGTGCAGAGTGTGGTGTGGTGTGGTGTGGTGCAGAGTGTGGTGTGGTGTGGTGCAGAGAGTGGTGTGGTGCAGAGTGTTGTGTGGTGTGGTGCAGAGTGTGGTGTGGTGTGGTGTGGTGTGGTGGTGCAAGTGAGTGTGGTGTGGTGTGGTGTGGGTGTGGTGTGGTGCAGAGTGTGGTGTGGTGTGGTGTGGTGCAGAGTGTGGTGTGGTGTGGTGCAGAGCGTGGTGTGGTGTGGTGCAGAGCGTGGTGTGGTGTGGTGCAGAGTGTGTTGTGGTGTGGTGCAGAGTGTGGTGTGGTGTGGTGTGGTGCAGAGTGTGGTGTGGTGTGGTGCAGAGTGTGGTGTGGTGTGGTGTGGTGCAGAGTGTGGTGTGGTGTGGTGCAGAGAGTGGTGTGGTGCAGTGTTGTGTGGTGTGGTGCAGAGCGTTGTGTGGTGTGGTGTGGTGCAGAGTGTGGTGTGGTGTGGTGTGGTGCAGAGCGTGGCGTGGTGTGGTGCAGAGTGTGGTGTGGTATGGTGCAGAGTGTGGTGTGGTGTGGTGCAGTGTGAGTGTGGTGTGGTGTGATGTGGTATGGTGCAGAGTGTGGTGTGGTAATGTGAGGTGCAGTGGTGTGTGTGGTGTGGTGTGGTGTGTGTGTGCAGAGTGTGGTGTGGTGTGGTGTGGTGCAGAGTGTGGTGTGGTGTGGTGCAGAAAGTGGTGTGGTGCAGAGTGTTGTGTGGTGTGGTGCAGAGTGTGGTGTGGTGTGGTGTGGTGTGGTGTGGTGCAGAGTGTGGTGTGGTGTGTGGTGTGGTGTGGTGCAGAGTGTGGTGTGGTGTGGTGTGGTGCAGAGTGTGGTGTGGTGTGGTGCAAGAGAGCATGGTGTGGTGTGTGCAGAGCGTGGTGTGGTGTGGTGCAGTGGTGTGTTGTGGTGTGGTGCAGAGTGTGGTGTGGTGTGGTGTGGTGCAGAGTGTGGTGTGGTGTGGGTGCAGGAGTGTGGTGTGGTGTGGTGTGGTGCAGAGTGTGGTGTGGTGTGGTGCAGAAGTGGTGTGGTGCAGTGTTGTGTGGTGTGGTGCAGAGCGTTGTGTGGTGTGGTGTGGTGTGTGGTGCAGAGTGTGGTGTGGTGTGGTGTGGTGCAGAAGCGTGGCGTGGTGTGGTGTGGTGCAGAGTGTGGTGTGGTATGGTGCAGAGTGTGGTGTGGTGTGGTGCAGAGTGTGGTGTGGTGTGATGTGGTATGGTGCAGAGTGTGGTGTGGTATGGTGCAAGAGTGTGGTGGTGTGGTGTGAAGTGCAGAAGTGGTGTGGTGTGGTGCAGAAGTGGTGTGGTGCACAGAGTGTGGTGTGGTGTGGTGCAAGCGTGGTGTGGTGTGGTGCAGAAAGAGTGGTGTGGTGCAGAAGTGTGGTGTGGTGTGGTGTGGTGTGGTGTGGTGTGGTGCAGAGTGTGGTGTGGTGTGGTGTGGTGTGGTGCAGAGAGTGTGGTGGTGGTGTGGTGTGGTGCAGGAGTGTGGTGTGGTGTGGTGCAGGCGTGGTGTGGTGTGGTGCAGAAGCGTGGTGTGGTGTGGTGCAGAGTGTGTTGTGGTGTGGTGCAGAGTGTGGTGTGGTGTGGTGTGGTGCAGGGTGTGGTGTGGTGTGGTGCAGAGTGTGGTGTGGTGTGGTGTGGTGCAGGTGTGGTGTGGTGTGGTGCAGAGGAGTGGTGTGGTGCAGAGTGTTGTGTGGTGTGGTGCAGAGCGTTGTGTGGTGTGGTGTGGTGCAGAGTGTGGCGTGGTGTGGTGTGGTGCAGAGCGTGGCGTGGTGTGGTGTGGTGCAGAGTGTGGTGTGGTATGGTGCAGAGTGTGGTGTGGTGTGGTGCAGAGTGTGGTGTGGTGTGGTGCAGAGTGTGTTGTGGTGTGGTGCAGAGTGTGGTGTGGTGTGGTGTGAAGCATGAAGTATGTGTGGTGTGGTGCAAGCGTGGTGTGGTGTGGTGCAGGCGTTGTGTGGTGTGGTGTGGTGCAGAAGCGTTGTGTGGTGTGGTGCAGAGAGAGTGGTGTGGTGCAGAGTGTGGTGTGGTGTGGTGTGGTGCAGAGGTGTGGTGTGGTGTGGTGTGGTGCAGGTGTGGTGTGGTGTGGTGCAGAGAGGTATGGTGTGGTGCAGAGTGTGGCGTGGCGTGGTGCAGGCGTGGTGTGGTGTGGTGCAGAGTGTGGTGTGGTGTGGTGTGGTGCAGAGTGTGGTGTGGTGTGGTGTGGTGCAGAGTGTGGTGTGGTGTGGTGCAGAGAGTGGTGTGGTGCAGAGTGTGGTGTGGTGCAGAGTGTGGTGTGGTGTGGTGTGGTGCAGAGTGTGGTGTGGTGTGGTGCAGAGAGTGGTGTGGTGCAGGTGTGGTGTGAGTGAGTGTGGTGGTGCAGTGTGGTGTGGTGTGGTGTGGTGCAGAGTGTGGTGTGGTGTGGTGTGGTGCAGAGTGTGGTGTGGTGTGGTGTGGTGCAGAGTGTGGTGTGGTGTGGTGCAGAGAGTGGTGTGGTGCAGAAGCGTGGTGTGGTGTGGTGTGGTGCAGAGTGTGGCGTGGTGTGGTGTGGTGCAGAGTGTGGCGTGGTGTGGTGTGGTGCAGAGAGTGGTGTGGTATGGTGCAGAGTGTGGTGGTGTGGTGTGGTGCAGAGTGTGGTGTGGTGTGGTGTGGTGTGGTGCAAGTGTGTGTGTGGTGTGGTGTGGTGTGGTGCAGAGTGTGGTGTGGTGTGGTGCAGAAAGTTGTGTGGTGCAGTGTGGTGTGGTGTGGTGCAGAAGCGTGGTGTGGTGTGGTGGTGTAGTGTGGAGTGTGGTGTGGTGGTGTGGTGTGTGGTGCAGAGTGTGTGGTGTGGTATGGTGCAGTGTGGTGTGATGTGGTATGGTGCAGAGTGTGTGGTGTGGTATGGTGCAGAGTGTGGTGTGGTGGTGCAGAGAGAAGTGGTGTGGTGCAGAAAGCGTGGTGTGGTGTGGTGCAGAGAGCGTGGTGTGGTGTGGTGCAGAGTGTGGTGTGGTGTGGTGTGGTGTGGTGCAGAGTGTGGTGTGGTGTGGTGCAGAGTGTGGTGTGGTGTGGTGCAGAGTGTGGCATGGTGTGGTGTGGTGCAGAGTGTGGTGTGTGTGTGTGGTGTGGTGCAGAGTGTGGTGTGGTGTGGTGTGGTGCAGAGAGTGGTGTGGTGTGGTGCAGAGTGGTGTGGTGTGGTGCAGCGTGATGGTGTGGTGCAGAGCGGTGTGGTGCAGTGTGTGGTGTGGTGTGGTGCAGAGTGGTGTGGTGTGGTGTGGCGTGGTGCAGCTTGGTGTGGTGCAGAAGAGTGGTGTGGTGCAATGTGTGGTGTGGTGTGGTGTGGCGTGGTGTAGAGTATGGTGTGGTGCAGAGCGTGGTGTGGTGCAGAGCGTGGTGTGGTGCAGAGCATGGTGTGGTGCAGAGTATGGTGTGGTGCAGAGCGTGGTGTGGTGCAGAGCATGGTGTGGTGCAGAGTGTGGTGTGGTGCAGTGTGGTGTGGTGTGGTGCAGAACGTGGTGAGGTGTAGTGTGTGGTGTAGAGCGTGGTGTGGTGTGGTGCAGAGTGTGGTGTGGTGTGGTGTGGTGCAGTGTGTGGTGTGGCATTTACAGGGTGTAGAGTGTTGATGTGATGTGGTGTTTGATGAGGGTTTGAGGTGCAGCGCAGTGAGGTGTGGTGTGGGGATTTGCGGTGCAGAACTTTTCGGTGTGGTGTCTACAAGGTGTAGTGTGTTAAATAGATGTTTAGTTAATATATGTCATGTTTGATGAGGTTTAAAGGTGCGGTGTGGTGTGATGTGATGTGTGGTTATTGTATGAGTTACTATATGAGGGTCTGTAGAGTGGTACGGTGCAGCGTTGTGAGTCTTCAAGCTCTTTCTGAATTAGATCTGCAGTGTTTATATGCAGTGTTTGGTGAGGATTTGTGGAGTGTTGTAGGGTTTCATTACTGCCTACTTGAAGTGAATACAGTAATGTAATATAAGTCCTACCTGTTTGCCAAATCTGTTTTGTTTGTGGGTGTAAGCATATTGATCCCAAAGTTGACAACATTGTAGCCAGACTCCTTGGAGTTGGGCTTCTTGCCTGAGAGGACCAAGGCACGTCCAACCCTACAGGAAGAAAAGACACATGAGACAGTAGTTGATGAATGACGTCCTTTAATAACAAACAAACTTTACATGATATAACTAAAACAAATATACTCATGACCTACTCAATCGCATTTTCTTTAACATGACTGCTATTTTGAAATGTAATTTAACATTTGGCATGTTGGGTATGTTTTTTATTTTTGAATGCCATACTCAAAAATATTCCAGCTATATGATGGCAACCTGTAAATAAGACAGTCAGGTCCAGTGAGTGAGTGAGCTTTTAGTTTTAAGCCGCTTTTAGCAATATTCCAGCAATATCATGGCGGGGGACACCAGAAATGGGCTTCACACATTGTACCCATGTGGGGAATCGAACCCGGGCCTGTGGCATTTCAAGCGGACGCTTTAATCACTAGGCTACCCCAGCGCCCCCAGTCAGGTCCAGACAATCCAGTGACCAACAGTATGAGCAATGATATGTGAGGACACACGTCAACATGTGAGCGAACCCACCAGATCTATTTGGTAACCTCTTATGACTGGCATAGACAGCTGGACTGAAGTACTACTCACTGATTCTCATGGATTTGTGTTTAACAGCTAAACAAATGACTTACTTTGCTGCTAACATCATGAAGTCACAGGTAAGGTTGATTTCTTCTATAATCTCGACAGCCTGTGCACAGGCTAGTCTTGCATTAGGTAGGATTGCTTGGCACTTCTTGATGTGACGAATGGCTCTCTGAGACAACAGATAGAAACAAGGTATAACACTGGCTGTGAGTGAGTGAGTGAGTTTAGTTTTACACTGCACTCAGCAATATTCCAGCTATATGGCGGCGGTCTGTAAATAATTGAGTCTGGACCAGACAATCCAGTGATCAACAGCATGAGCATTGATCTGCGCAATTGGGAACCGATGACATGTGTCAACCAAGTCAGTGAGCCTGATCCGTTAGTCGCCTCTTACGACAAGCATAGTCACCTTTGTGGCAAGCATGGGTTGGTAAAGACCTATTCCACCCCGGATCTTCATGGGTCACACCGGCTGTGTGCGCCTAACGGTCTGACTCATCAGTGACACTCCTCCAAGAAGCTTGAGGTCAGAAAACAAACAACTGCTAACAGTGCTGACAGAGGAACTCAGATCCTTTTGAAATGATTACACACTAAGAACTTGCACAGAGGCATTTGCTCCCCATAGCCATTAAGCAATTTCAGCATAATTATTATCATGAAAAAAATCATGATTCTTAGATTGACCAAATTCACTGAGGATCAGGTCACATTGTTTTAAACTGAGCTGGCATTGTCAAGTCTGCAATCGCCTTTAAGTTTTGTGTTTGTCGTTCAACAGATCACACTCGGCAGCAAAATTCCAGATACATGAGCGTGGATTGTCAACAATCAAGACTGGACCAGACCATCCACTGATTGAGATCACTCTAAGTAATTGGAATATGACTAGCATCAATCATATCAGTGACTCCAAACTCCTCATCCAGTTAGTCACCCCTTTTGACAAGCATAGGTTGCTGAAGACCAATTTTAACCTTAATCTTCACCGCAATGTAACAGTCAATCATTTGATAAGGTGAGGTGAGGTGAGGTGACGTGAAATGGGGTTTAACATCGTACTTAAGAATATTTCAACGGCTCATATGACGACATGCATGCATGTGTATGTGTGGCTGCTTGTACTAGCCCAGACTTAAGCTGGTTCCATAGTGCTAGCTCACTGAGAAACTATGCAGCAATCAAGCATGAATACCCCACTCAGACACATTATACTGACTCCGAGCCGACCAGTTTTTGTTGTACCCATTTATGCCGAGGGCCAGGCAGGGACCAACAAGTACCAGATGTTAACATCTATTGGTATGATGCGGCCAAGGATTAAACCAGCGACCTTCTGCTCTCTGGGAGGACGCTCTAACCACTACACCACGGAGGCGGCTATTTCCTAAGACTGTTATGACAGTGAATGATAATTTCATAGCCATATCACCTGAAACTGGCTTTGCACAGTTTATATCGAACCTTTTATATGAACACTTTAAACACAAGGCTTCCCTACTAGCCCATGACAGCCAGGTGTTAACAAAGCCTGTATTTACCTGTATGACATCAGGAGCCAGGTATTCCAGGGGGACACCATCAGGGGAAGACAGAAACTGGAACAGGACAGATCCGTGCTCATCCGGCAAGTCCCTCACATCATTGCCTGGGGACAAACAAGAGGCATCAGTTAACATGAACAGATCATTTTCATGAAGCGTAATACAGATGACACTGTGATACATAAACATACCTCAACCAACACTGTGATATCAAAATGTACCCTCAAACAAACTACCATGCAGATATGTACCCTATCTGATGATTTAATGCTGAAATGTACCCTCAAACAAATGGTAATTAAAATATGTACCCTCAACTAAACTGTAATACAGAAATGAGGGAATCCCACAGTTCTAAGACGAACTTATTCTGCTCCACCCATAACAGATGACCAAAGGTTTAGTCAGATGATTGGCCAAAGTACCCCACTGTCCATCACATCATTAACCATGGAAAGTCAATAATGTCATTCACCACAGAACGTCAATAATGTCATTTACCATGGAAAGTCAATAATGTCATTCACCACAGAAAGTCAATAATGTCATATACCATGGAAAGCCAATACCTGCATTTACCATGGAGTGAGTGAGTGAGTGAGTTGGTTTTTACGCTGCGATCAGCAATATTCCAGCACTATCACGGCAGGGGGACACCAGAAATGGGTTTCACACATTGTACCCATGTGGGGAATTGAACCCAGGTCTTTGGCGTGACGAGCGAATGCTTTAACCACTAGGCTACCTCAACGCCCCCATTCACCCTGGAATGTCAAACTTGTTCATATCATGTGAATCTGCCTCTATTCTCAAGACAAACACGGTTTCAATGATGCATCAGCATCAATAGCTTCATGGACATGAACTGTTGCACTCAACAGGCTAATTGTATACACATGAGGTAAGTCTCGTGCCTTTCCTAGCTCGACCAGAGCATGTCCCAACACCATCATCTGTCTATATACCTGAACCATGGTACTCACCTGGCTGATTACGTGCACAACGCATGAGGTATGTCTCTGCCCTTCTTAGCTCTACCAGAGCATGTCCCAACACCATCATCTGTCTATATACCTGAACCATTGTTCTCACCTGGCTGATTGCGTGCACAACGCATGAGGTATGTCTCTGCCCTTCTTAGCTCTACCAGAGCATGTCCCAACACCATCATCTGTCTATATACCTGAACCATTGTTCTCACCTGGCTGATTACGTGCACAACGCATGAGGTAAGTCTCTGCCCTTCCTAGCTCTACCAGAGCTTGTCCCAACACCATCATCTGTATATATACCTGAACCATTGTACTCACCTGGCTGATTAGCGTGCACAACGCATGAGGTAAGTCTCTCTGCCCTTCCTAGCTCTACTAGAGCTTGTCCCAACACCATCATCTGTATATATACCTGAACCATTGTACTCACCTGGCTGATTGCGTGCACAACGCATGAGGTAAGTCTCTGCCCTTCCTAGCTCTACCAGAGCTTGTCCCAACACCATCATCTGTATATATACCTGAACCATTGTACTCACCTGGCTGATTGCGTGCACAACGCATGAGGTAAGTCTCTGCCCTTCCTAGCTCTACCAGAGCTTGTCCCAACACCATCATCTGTATATATACCTGAACCATTGTACTCACCTGGCTGATTGCGCGCACAACGCATGAGGTAAGTCTCTGCCCTTCCTAGCTCTACCAGAGCATGTCCCAACACCATCGCTCTGTCTTTATACACATGTTGGTTCAACAAGTCAGCTAGGTTGCCAAGGATGAAATCCTATTGAAAAAGTAACAGATAAAATGTCAAAACATGCTTATAGACAAGCATGAGAATCTATTAATATAGAATTACCTTCTGCACATTGTGCAATAATTGTGCTCAATCAGGCTTAAAACCAGTCTTGCTATAGATATTGAGCACTGTTTTTGATGACATTATGACTTCATGTTCCAAAGAGAGAAGTGACCATGTCTTGTGCATTGAATCCAAGCTCATGTTTTTTCTTCCTAACAGGCAGCCGACCAACACAACAATACACACATAAACTTCTTGGAAGTAGAAACAAAGGGAGGTAACTGAGCTATCCAGAGTTGTGTACCACACACTCTGACAAGAGAATAAGGCTATAATTACAAATTTTATAAATTGAGTTTTTCAAATCATGGACCTTACCCAGTGTACATCAGTGCCCCAGCTCAATCCAGCAGCCATCAGTAGACCTGCCCAGGAGAAGGGGAGGTGGGTGAGGTGTCCTTTCCCTGTCCAGTTGCATACAACCATCCCCATAGCTCCCTGTGACGTTGCACACTTCATGGCGTTGAAGATGTTACATAGAGCTGCTTCAGGACATCCTGCCAAGCTGAACAGAGGGAAGTGAGGATGGTCACCAGACAGAAGATAACACATACTTGGTGAAAACACTAAATTTGCAAACTCGCAGATTTCCCCTAACATTAAACTGACCACTCTGCCAATCCTCTCACATCAATCACAGAGTATGTCTGGTGTCCACAACCCAGAGTCAGCTGACTGTTTCATACATCCTTCTTGTATTACATGAGAGTCCGTTCTTGAGGTGGGATTAAAGACCAAAGTGATCCATATGATGTTTACAAAAGAAGAATCAACATGATTCTGAGATTTCAACCCACACAGACTCAGAAATGTTTATGATCCAATCCTTAGAGTTATGGGAAATATCTCTTCACAAGTGAGTTGTGATCTATTACAGCAATGTTCCAACAACAACTATACCACCAATAGACTAAATGCACCCATATATGGAAGTGAACCCCGATTCTGTTTGACCCACCAGGTGACCTTATTATCCCTCTTTATGAGAACATTGCACGACTTTTCACAATGTAAAACTGATGAATTATCATCCCAAACTGGCTACCACAGTAGATAGCACTTTGAGTGAGTGAGTGAGTTTAGTTTTACGCTGCACTCAGCAATATTCCAGCTTTATGGCAGCGGTCTGTAAATAATCGAGTCTGGACCAGACAATCCAGTCATCAACAGCATGAGCATCGATCTGCGCAATTGGAAACCGATGACATGTGTCAACCAAGTCAGCCAGCCTGACCACCCGATCCCGTTAGTCGCCTCTTACGACAAGCATAGTCGCCTTTTATGGCAAGCATGGGTTGCTGAAGACCTATTCTATATCGTATCCTCATGGGTCAGATAGCACTTTGAAGTACCAGCACTTGTCCATAAAACCCCTTAGCAAGTCTTGGAATCTAAACATCTAATGTCGTGCTGATATAACTGATATTGGGACGCTCATGCCACATAAAGCTGTGATGTGCCATGACACATTTGTCCAACTCACCTGTTCCATGCTGCAGTGCCGGGACAGGCCATGAAGCTGATCCTGCAACACACAGGAACACACAATATTTTCTTTAATCACATTCAAACAATAGGTGTAAACTGGTACTCAGGCCATTCTCGGTTTGATAATATGAGAACTACTTACCCAAGATCAGCAAGTGGACCACAGAAACTGTTAAAGTCATGATCTGCCTGCAAGAGAAGGAGACACTTGTAACAATTTTCAGAATTGAAGGCCTTTTCAGGGTTTTTTCAAGACATTTTCATTCCAATTCCATGCAAAATATAACACAAATATGATTCAGTGCTATGATGTAATATCAAGGAAAGTAACTTATCCCTGACTGCAATCATTCAATGCAATCATCATGTAAATGAGGTTTGTATTGTTGTAAGTAATGAGATACATAATGTTGGCATCGGTGTTTCACTATCAGCCATAGTTATGTACATTATGAAAGGTGCAAGTTCAGAAAGCTAAGGATCCATACCATAATGTTACGGTTGAAGCTGATTGCTTAGTGAACCATTTAAAAGAGTGTTGCTTAAACGGGCACTGAGCTACTGACCCATAAGAGTGAATAGCTAGGGAGTATAGGAGGTAGCTCACCTTGACGCCAAACTCATTAAAGACAATATGTGGAGGCAGCTGCTGAAGTAGGGATGTGCTGAGGCCGTGGAGGGGATAGCCACACAGCTGCAGGGTCTGGTCTCGACTCAAAGGCAAGAACCGACTCGCATCATTCACGTTCAGATAATCTTCTGTCACGTCCAAAAGGAAACTGCTCAGACGAGGTCCAGCACTGACAAACCTGTACACAGATGACACAACATCTAAGGTGGACAGTTTGGATGGTATGGATTGGGTTGTGTTGCATCAGTAATATGTTAATTCAAGATTACTATCAATTGTTTGAGACAAATCGCACATCATGATAGCTAAAATCTGATGCCATGAATGCCTCAAGTTGTTCTATCTGTTTTGTTCTGGGGAAGGAGTGACTTACACATCATTCCCCTCAGTTCACAGAATAAGTCAGATATAGTAAGTGAGTAAGTTTAGTTTTACGCCACATTCAGCAATATTCCAGCCATATGGCTGCGCTCTGTAAATAATCGAGTTTGGACCAGACAATCCAGTGATCAACACCATGATCATCGATCTACACAATTAAGACATGTGTCAAGCAAGTTAGCGAACCTGACCACCCGATCCCGTTAGTCGCCTCTTACGTCAAACATGAGTTACTGAAGATCAATTCTTACCCGGATCTTCACGGGTTAAGTTAGATATAGAATCTTGAAAACACTGAGAGGGGACACCTGCCTATAACATATTTAACAGTTAGACTCAATATTATAATACTAAACTAGTCCTCACATACTACTAAATGATGAGCAGTGTAGTACAAAACCAGGTTCCCTTTGGTTAACACTGCTCTGATATCCATCATCAGCTCAAGTCTGGGACTGACTCACAAGATATTCTCTTTTGATAAGATGCAATTAAATGTTAATCCATTAATTGAGTTGTCAGACTGACACTTTGACCTCTGAGAGTATTCTTACTCTGAATGTGAGCAGCATGTCACAAAGTCCTGGAATGCTGTGTAGAGAAGAGGGAGATCTTCAAACTGGACCTTGGGACCGACCTCCAGGACCGGCACAAGCTGCAAGGCCCGGGCCGAACACATCATGTCCAGATGCAGCAGGTCACTGCACAAATAGTCAGAAACTTTCACCATCATAAAACTTTAACAGGATTCGGCAAGGAATGAGTGAGTGAGTATTAGCAATATTCCAGCAATATCACGGCAGGGGACACCAGAAATGGGCTTCACACATTGAACCCATGTGGGGAATCAAAAGCTTCAACCACTAGGGTACCCAACCGCCCTACTCGGCAAGAAAACCAAGTGGGTCTCACAATGCTATTTGCAATATGGAAGGTGTTACCAGATAACACAAGGATGAGGAACTACTGACACATTCTACCCAGAAATCCCACACTAGTAATGTTCATATCACAACACGCTAATCATGTGTAACATGTCTAAGTGTGCAGCAATACTTGTCACGCACTATACATGATCATGTGAGAACCACTAAAGTGATCTTGCTTGGGTATAGACACTCAATTCATTCTTGCCAATCTTGCTGCTCTCCAATCTACATACTTTCTTTCTCTGGGTCCATTTGGACCACCCACTCCTCATCTAAGACACCTTAACACATCATATGAGTGAGTGAGTTTAGTTTACGCCACCTTTAGCATATATTCCAGCAATATCACAGCAGGGGACATCAGAAATGGGCTTCATACATTGTACCCAAATAAGGAATCGAACCCAGGTCTTCAACTTGATGAGCAAACACTTTAACCACTGGGCTACCCTACTGTCCTAATAATACCTCATATGAAAAGCAGGGGTAACCTGTAAGTATGAACAGTATTTCAGCCATATGGTAAGGATAGGCTTGTTAGGGCCCCTTACACATGAATGATGAAAGTTAAAATCAGACAATGTCTAGTCGTACCTTCTGGAGTAACACAGCTGCCACTCTGTTGGGTTTTTGCTTCTAAATCTTGAATAAAGATAAATCTGAAAATATGACAGCTGACATCAGAACAAATGCTGAATTGGACAACGTTCAGTTAATGGACAATCTATTTCCAACAAATACCCGTATGTTGTTTAAACAAAATCTGGCTTCTCTTCTGATTGACATGGATGGATAGAACAACCAAGAATGCACTGTGACCCTATACGTCAAGAAACTTACTTGATTCATCTTCAGTAAGGACAATGTATTCAGTAGTTCCTGGAGTGTTTCCTGTAAAATTCAAGAAAACCAATAAATGTTAAACAAATAACAATGTTGATACTATGAATACACAATGCCATTTAGAAAGTGGACAAATGTAACATATTATATTTGGGATTAAACTTTCTCAGTGAAGAACTGATTCTAGTAATTTTTGGGCAGAGTCCCATCCTGGAATCGAACCTAATCGCCAGTGGTAATACTGGTTGGTTGTTTGTTGTTTAATGCTTCACTCAGCAATATTCCAGCTATATCACTTCAGGTTGTAAGTAATAAAGGCCGAACCAGAAATGGATGCTGTGAGCAAACACCCATGCCATTCGGATACAATGACACGCCATCAATCAATTTATCGAATCAACAACACTTGTTAATAAACAGCAGTTTATCTTCCGGATGTGTCCCCAAGTGTCTGAAGATCGCTGTTGTTAAGCCACTCCTGAAAAAGCCTGGCTTAGACGCTGACACACTATCGAACTATAGGCCTGTCTCTAATTTATCCTTCATATCAAAATTGCTTGAGAAGGCAATCAAGGTACGCCTTGTTGATCACTTGACCGTGAATGATCTCTATGACGTGCATCAGTCTGCATATCGCTCCGATCATTCCACAGAGACTGTACTTCTGCATGTGATGGAGAGACTTCTTGCTGCAGCTGATGCGGGCTATGTTACAGTTTTAACGCTGCTTGATTTATCAGCGCTTTTGATACCATTGACCATGTTCAATTAACTGAGTGTCTGAAAACAGAATTTGGTATTCATGGCACAGCTCTTGGATGGTTTGTCTCATACCCTCAATAATAGGACACAATCTGTGGTCATTCAAGACGGAAATCGTAATGCGCATCAGCTTACATACGGAGTGCCACAAGGTTCCGCTCTTGGGCCCATTCTCTTTTCACTCTATATGAAGAATCTCGGCAATATCATTCGCATCATGTTGTGATGTACGAGTCATATGCTGATGACACCCAGCTGTTATGCGTTCCACTAAACCGACTCACTTCCAGCCGATATGTCTATAATCGAAGACTGTATCCTTGACTCCAAAGCATGGATGATACAAAGGAAGCTGAGATTAAATGACAGTAAGACCGAGGTTTTGCTGTGTGGATCACCCAGTAGCACTGCTAAGGTGGATGTGTCTTCGTTGGTAGTGGGTAATGAGAAAGTTCCTTTCAGTGATTCCGTGAAAAGACCTTGGTGTTTTTCTAGACTCAAATTTATCCATGGAAACACACGTAAACTCTGTTTGTAAGTCATGCTATTTTCATCTCAGAAATATTGCTTCCATTCGTGATATTCTGACATTTGATGCAGCTCACCACCTAGTTCGCTCACTTGTTCTCTCACGCGCTGGATTATTGCTGCAGTCTTCTTGTAAATATCCGCCAAGATCTATTGTCCAAGCTCCAGAGGATTCAGAACTCTCATGGGGCGCTGATTGATTTGCCGAGTCAACAAGCGCAGTCACATTACACCATTGCTGATACGCTTACATTGGCTGCCCAATGAAACAGAGAATAGAATATAAAATCCTCACTCGCTTTCAAGTGCCTCCATGACAAAGCTCCAATCTATCTGAAAGATCTCCTCAGTGAATATGTCCCACCACGGCTTTTAAGATCAAGTTCTAATTGTCAGTTGAATGTCCCCAAGGTCAGATTAAAGTCATATGGATATAGACAGTTCTCTTACACAGCTCCCCTTTTCTGGAACTCACTGCCTCTTCACATCCGACAAGCCGCGTCCGTGGAATCTTTCCAGTCCCAACTGAAAACTTTCCTTTTTAAACAAGCTTATGAACTTTAATCCTTTCTTCAGATCACTCTATCTTTTAGCGCCTAGAGAAATTGCCTTGCAGTTTGATTTGTGCGCTATACAAGAACACTTATTATTATTATTAATACTGGCTAAAAACATCTACTCCCCCAAATCTGACTGTACGTACCATATTAGGTACTCGTCCTTGTGACACATCCAACAACACTCCTCGATAATGCAGTGTTGGCCAGTCATCGATCTGCAGAGATATTTTCGCATTAAGATACATGAAAACAATGTGATAATCTGCTTAAATGAACATCCAGAATTCTATAGACAAAATTGCAAAGTTTGTTTACTTGTTAATTAATGCCCAATCAGCTTTATGACAACTGTTAATAAACATGAAACATAACTGAATCTGGACCAGACAATCCGATGATTGATTGTGAGTGGTGATCCATGCTGTGTACAGTGATACACAGGAGACAGTTACAGGGTTTATCTCCCAATCCAGTAAGTTGCCCCAAACAACCAGCAATTCTATCATTCCCTCAGGGTTCTAAACATGTGATAGGTGTGGCATCAGTACCAGTAATGTCGGGATGGAGATTCCCTCCGCGGTCCTGTAGAGCTCCAGCAGCTGCAGCACTGTACACAGAGCATAGTTGAGGCTCTCCAGGCTCCCACACACAATCTTCAACTGAAAACAAGGAAATGTAAAGTCTGATTCACAACAAAACACTTACACACTTTTGGGATGCCTAGTGGAAAGCTAGCATATCTCATTAAAATCAGATCTCGCTACAGTTAAATACAGATACAAGGACATCTCATGAGGACAGATCACTTTAGAACAACCTTTCACAAACCTTGAAGTCCATTTAAATGACTAACAATGACACTTGCCAATCAGAAAGCAGGTTACTCAAGTTTCATGGTAACTTCCATTCCAGACAAATAAGAGCTAATCAGAATATGAGAACTGAATAAAAGAACATTCTAGAATGTCTAAAATATAGCCAGTATTGTATGGCCATATTTCTCATGGGTATTCTTAGAGCTTCAGAAATAGTAATTGCCAAAAAACTTGTCCAAACTTACGGTATAATTAATGAAACAATTTATATACACAGATTATGTATCACGAACTGTAATGACATCTTCAAGAGTACATCAGATCTACTTGAAACATTCATTATAGTTTTCCAACTATTATAATGATGAATAGCTGCTCCCCGGTAAGTACCAGGGTCCCGATTCACAAAGCGTTCATAGCATTATGAGCTATCATTACTATATAGTTCATCATCGGACTATGAATGATGTAATGCTACGAACACTTTGTGGAGCCAGCCCCCCTCCTTCAACAGTTACCTTACCTATCCACTGACAGACACCCCTCCCACACCACACTTCCTGCCTACCTGTTTGGGAGAGATGGTAATCTTGTAAGAGCCCTTGTTCTGGCACAGCCTGTGGTTGACATGACACAGGACATGGGGCATGTCACATATATTTAGAGGTGACAACATCTCCAAACCAAACTTTACACCCACTGCCTCAAACTGGCCTTTGTGTGACTCCCACACTGAGATGATTCTTGTGTGACCTGTGAGACACAGAGGAATGGTACCAAACAGTCATGGTGAGGTGAAATTGGGTTTAAAGTCGTGCTTGAGAATATTTCGCTCATATGACGACGTGCGTGCGTGTGTTGGTGTATGTGCGGCTGCTTGTACTAGCCCAGACTTAAGCTGGGTTTTTTATAGTGCTAGCCCACTGAGATACCATGCTGCAGTGAAGCATGAATACCCCACTCAGACACAATATACTGACTCCATATTTTAATGTCTTTTTGGTATGACGCAGTCGGGGATCGAACCCGCGACCTTCCGCTCTCCGGGCGGACGCCTAACCACGGAGGCGGTCCAACAGTCATGGTAAATCTGTCACACATACAGTTACTTTTCTGTGATGACTGGATCATGTCTACACACATTGTGTAATATATACACAACAAATTTAGTAAAGCACCTCCTGACATATCTCATGATTGAATTAGTGAGTGAGTGAGAGAGTTTAGTTTTACGCTGCACTCAGCAATATTCCAGCTATATGGCATCGGTCTGTAAATAATCGAGTCTGGACCAGACAATCCAGTGATCAACAGCATGAGCATCGATCTGCGCAATTGGGAACCGATGACATGTGTCAACCAAGTCTGTTAGTCACCTCTTACGACAAGCATAGTCGCCTTTTGTGGCAAGCATGGGTTGCTGAAGACCTATTCTACCCTGGATCTTCACGGGTCCATGATTGAATGAGACCCAATCATAACCCTTTGGAGCATATCTGGGACATGATCAGTCGTCGTGTGCAACAAAGGGATCCTCCTGTACAGAACCTTAATTAAGGCACTTAATTAAGTTCTTTGTGTATATTTGCCTCCAAGACTGAGATTAATATTACTATGATTATTGGTAACTATTAATCAATCTTTTAAAGACATGGTCCTTTTCCACAAACTGAGTTTCAGGCTATGACTGATGTAGGTCTATGTTAAAGTATTGGAGTAATAGGTGCATAGATAACTTCATGGAATCAGCCTTGGGTGACAAAACTCAAACTTCTCAACTAATAACACAATTATCTACAAACTTACTACAGATGGGGCCTCCAGCTACCATGACTGGTAGATGGTCTTGAATAACAAATGGCTGACCACCACCCTGGACAATACTCTGTGGCTGTGGCCACAACAGGTTCAGCTTCTCCTCCGTCACCACGGCTCGGAGCGGCGACATCATCAGGTCATCATACACATGGGGCTTTGGCTGGAGAACAAGCATTTTGTTTGTTTAACACAGCACTCCGTTATTTCCCAGCTTCAAGTCACTTCTCCTGACCAGGCTGCTGGGTCTATGTCTAATCCCCATGTAGTGGGTAGCAAGTAAACCACAGGTATTGGCTTTCAGTACAAGAGAGTGCTCAACAGTAATGACAACTTCAACAAGGCGTTCAGAAGTGGACTGACTGACTGACTGAGCCAAAGCTTTAACCACTAGGCTACCCCACCGCCCCTCAGAAGTGGAGTTCAAATATAATGATTTCTCTCATTTAAACATTGTCATAACTGATACATAATTTCTCTGTAATTTTTCAGAGATGACTTACAATTGCATCGTAAAGAATTCAGTGCATCAGTGAATTCTTGGCTCAGAATATCCTTATAATGTTTTAACAATTGTTATTTATCCCCAATATCTATTTCAGGGGAAAGCAAAAAGTCAAAATTCAAGATGATTTTGTATACCTTAAACGATGGCGAAGCGAGCTGTGGGACTGGGGACTCAACACCATTCGCGGCAGTACCGTTGACCATACCCCCATCTCCTGCACCCACACCACTCTCCACTGATGCCGAACTGTCCAATCTGGACAGTGGACTCTTCTCTGATAAATACAAGCACATCAGTTACAACCAATATGCTATACTTGCATGTGTGCCGATTTTTGTAAACAACACAAGTCTGCCTGTTAAAGACTTGGCAGATTCAAGAAGCACTCATCCTTGAGGACTATCATTGTTACAATAAGGTAGATGGCAAATTTGCAGTGGCTAAGGAAAATCAAAATTAACTTTTAAAGGGCCACTGATCCAGAGCAATTTCCGTGGACTGGTTGTTGCTTTTGTTATTGTTTTTCTCCCGCGAGTACCCGGATGAAATCCCAGAATTCATGACTGGTTCGTTACCTCTGCCGCGCAACCCTCATGTGCAATTAATAGTATAAGTATAGACTGATCAACAAAGATGAAATCTTTTTTACTTGTTGATCTTGATTTTCTTGAAAAATAATGTAGCCTGTGATGAATAATTTGGTTTCTTATAAAAAAGAAATTCACTTTGTTAAAATGTTGATTTTGATGTTAAATTTTGATTTCATAGTAATGTTGACTTTATAAAAATGTTACCGTAAATGGATGTAGAACTTGATTTAAGAAACAGTTTGACCTTGAATTTGGTGAGAAGACTGATATAATAGCATTGTTTGAAAGTAAGGCTAACTAAGTACATGGGGAGTCTTGGGGAGAGTAGTGAGGTTGGGTTCACTACTAGTCAATCTGAATGTTGTATTAAATGGCATTATTTTGATAACAAATGAAAACAATTTAAGTTTAACCATCTGCCAGTGGAAAAAAATGTTAGGACTGAAATAATGAAGTCAATATGTCTTTATATTTTGTCTTATAATCCTAATTAGTTTATTATCATATTTGTATGCATTTGGAAACTTAATAAAATGCACACCATCTGCTTATACTTAGTGAATTTATAACATGACTGTAATATCTAGACATCTTGTAGATTGCCGACGTGTATCATAAGTGCGACCTAGTGTATGTTGTCTGTCTCATTACACTTCACGGCCTAAAAAATGATTCTGTTGAATGTCATAACAAATAAGTAAAAATAAAATGCAAATATTAAACTTAAAACAGACTAAAGTTAGCAACAATATTAGGCTGTTACCTTGTTCGGGGAATGTATCCATCAATATCCACATAAAGGAATGAGATGCCATTCATCTGCAGCTGACAAAGAATCCTTTTCCATGTCATGTGTCTTTTAACAGTCTAATATGCGAAAAAGTGAACTACCGTTTCAGGTTTTTCACATTGGTGTATCCCATTGGTCACCCAAGATAGCACACCTGGCAATTAATTGCATGATGTCCGCAATCGTTTCAGGGTTTTCACATTGGTGTATCCCATTGGTCACCCAAGATAGCACACCTGGCAACTAATTGCATGATGTCCACCATTCTTTAAAAAAGTAATTAGCCAATAATTAGCAATCAATCGATGTATTGTCGGCTAATCCTTTGAAGGAAGGACGTTGTTTTTACAAAGAGACTTTACGACAGGGTGTATTCAGTATAGATTAGTAAATCTACATGCATAAACACTACCTTTTGACAAATCCGCTGTGCAGGATAAAAGCAATTAATCAATCAGCGTGTTATCAGTTAATCCTTTGACAGGGGTGGAAATAACTTTAAAATTGATAGTGTACTCCGGTACAGTGGCACATGTAAAGTCACTTGCCCTGATAATTTTCCCACTATACCGACCGTTTTCTTGCTGATTTTTTAAATAAACAACATAATTAACATTGGAAAGTCAACTGGACACCGGTACAGTGTGATATACAAATTTGCTTGCCCGACAGAAAAAAACACTGGACTCAGACGTCGGGCAATGGGTCATTTCCACCCGTTTGATCGATGTTTGTTTATTTATTATGATGAGTATTTACTCCAGACACAAGAAATGCCAAATGGGAACCTTCGTCGGGTAATCTGAGTGGTGTTATCACTAACTATACCTGTTATAGATTCATTAACTGACCACCAAGTGAATGATGACAAATAACATGTGCAGGTTTACCACCAAACAAGGGTTACAGCAAGAGAGTAGTAATCGCTGTATTGCATGCAAGTTGGATTGTCTGAAAAAGACCTTATGGGACGACACTGTTTTGAGGATACGAACGGATCGAACTTCATTGTTACATAAGAAATATATCTAAGCATTTGCTGTGTACTTAGTTAAAAACTGTATATGCCTAAGTAAAATTTCAGATTTTTTTAGCAATGGCAAAGTGGGGTTGTTTAGTTTATGGATTCAAATATATCAAATGTGTGTTTTTGACATCATAGCATACGAAATAGACATGATATTTTTACATGATTAAATATCGAGGTAAAAAAACACAGAAATAGGATCATATTGGATCAGTCACTATACCATCCAAACATTTGAAAATCTGAAAAAGCCTACACTGCTGGGATACTTTATTACAATCAGACAAGAACTACCGGGGATATTTTCAAATAACTGCATCTACCCTTCCTAATGTCCCACTGATTAGGTTGAAGAAATTCTGCCAAGGTGGACAGTAGCCCAGTCCCCGTGTCCGTCACGGTCGAGGGAGCAGGGGATGACCAGTTTGCAGCTAGGTTTCGTAACTAGACTGTTGGCTGGAAACATTAATCGCTCTGGATCAGTGGCCCTTTAACCCTATTACTTATATAGATCTGTCTGCTGTATCGATGTCTCTACCTATATGGTTGTTGAGCTCCTGCTGAGCAGCCTCGGATGATAGGGTACGTTTTCTGGGAGGCGTATTCATCAGCTGTTCAACCTTCTCAAGCCCTGAGGCCAACTCAAAAGCAGTCTTCCCAACATCAGGGCTGTAACAAACAGTGCAAGATGGCAATTTCACTCAAGGGAGGCAACTGGCAAATCAAACACATTGTCAACTGTCAAAGCATGAAAACAAATGCAGTCCATTTCCAAGTTTCAGTACCGTATATTACCGTAGATAAGCCGACCCCATAGATAAGCCGACCCCCTAGCTTGACCCTTGAAATGAGTGTCAAAATGGTATGTTTCGTATATAAGCCGACCCCCCGCGATGAGTCGCGGCCAACTCACACCACTAGACATCTGGCAGTCGGATGTAAAACGTACACAAGCCGACCCCACGCTATGGCCAGCTCACACCACAAGACATCTGGCAGTTGGATGTAAAACGTAAGTATGTTTGGTGAAAATAGTATCTAATAAAGATTATACTGACCATTATTCTAGAAACCTGTATTTGTTTTCTTTCTTATAATCCCAACGATCACTGTAAAACGTACACAAGCCGACCCTACACTATGGCCAGCTCACAACACAAGACATCTGGCAGTTGGATGTAAAACGTAAGTTCTTTCTTATAATCCCAACGATCACTGTTTGTATGCATCAACAACAAGACGCCATTTTGTGAAGTCAGTGCATGTAGAAATATGAACCCATGAGAAAACTTACCCACGGTAAATAAAACTGAAGTCATTTTTCATTCAAAACACTATATTACTGTTTCTGTGTTATATTTGTTGTAAGTCGACAATAATACAGAATGAATACAGTGATGAAAATAATTTGTACATTCATTGAACATTCACATCTACCGGTAATTTAGAAATCGTCCGCTGTGAAACCATCAAACTCTGTGTCGCTGTCTTCTCCAGCCAGTGCCTGCCAGGCCAATTCATCTGTGTTGTCATCATAATAGTCATCTAAGTTTTCACATCCAAGGACGTCATCTTCATCAGCTCTAGGATCATAGGTGATAAAATCTTCAAACAGCCTCGTCCTGTGATCCATCCATTGCATTCGAAATGCCACACTTTAGGAATGATTTTACAACCATGTCCTTTGGGATCTCATCCCAGGATTCCTTCACCAATTTGGCAACTTCAGGTAGAGGCTCTCTCCTCATGGCGTTTGATTTCGTGAAGGTATGATCCCCATCCACCATCCATTCAGCCCACTTCTTGCGAATGTTCAACTTAAAGGGTTTATTAAGTGACACGTCTAGTGGCTGTAAGAGAGACGTGCAGCCCCCAGGTATAACGGCCTGGTGTGTTTTATTCTCTACCAATTTCTTTTTCACAGACGCGCACAAATGGGCCCGGAACATGTCCCATACCAGGAGCGACTTGCATCCTCTGAGGCTACCTGGTTTCCAATTTGTGATAGATCATAGTTGATCGCCTTCCGTTCTTTAATCACGGATGCGTGGAATAAATCCACCTTAGTATTCACCTGATCCGGAAGTTTCTGGGCAATATGTGTCCTCTGCCTTAGTACCCGATTTCTCCTGTTCATGAAACGTGAACACCATGTTGAATACGCTTTAAATGACGAAGGCAAACTGAATTCTTCTATCTTGGCCTTGTATATTCTGCTCATATGCAAATGAGGCAGTGAACTACGCATGTAGTAAACAATAGTGCCCCACCCCCATCCCAAGTTTCATAAATACCTAGGGAGGGAGAGACATCAAATCCCATGAAACCACAGCAAAGCCTAGACTTCTAAGGAATAATGTGCAAAATTTAACCAAACCTGAAGAGGTTTTCAATTCTTTGAAGAGAGTCGTCCTTGGGGTACATATTATGCATTTTCTGGCTGAAAAATGTCCTGTGACAGTTGTATCAATGTTTTTTGAATAAAAAGATTGAACAATAAATAAACTCTTTTATTTATTATACGGCCCCTACCTCACGGAGTTACCTCCCTTAGCGCATGCGCACCAACTGGGTAGGCTCCTAGACCCGTATCATCATTCCTTCTGCTGAATATATCAGTGAACAGAATTGCGGGAGGCGGGAGGTTCTATTCTACCCAGGATCGACTCTCTTCAAAGAATTGAAAACCTCTTCAGGTTTGGTTAATTCTTTTCAGAGAGATCGCCCTTGGGGTACATATTATGCATAAACACAGACTCCCAAAGACCGAGGCCAGGGTGGAGGGAATTCTGTCCAAGCACACACAAATATAGCGATCGTATCATGGAAAAAAAATTGAACAGACGCCATAACACTCACCTGTCACTTGACCCAGTTTCGCCTCGCCGAGAGGCATGCTGGGAGGGGAACTGACAGGGAGGAAGTGTACTCAAAGACGACCTCCATTTAGCATAGGGAGACAACGACGGGTGCGAATGTCAACAAAGCCCCACCCACCATGTGTCTTAGTGAGCACCGTGGGGGAAATGTAAATACCGCCACATTCGACAAATAACTCCTGAGAGAATCGAAAGGGGGTACATGTAGTTAGCTCACAGTAGCAGATATGTCAATAATACGCAATTATTGTACAGCAGCGTCAATAAACAAACCAATAAACCAAGACTCACTCGGTCAGGGTGGCAGGACACTGTCCACTGGAGAGAACCGTACGGCCAAAGCTCGCACGATTACGGGAATGTGTATCGAGCTGGTAATGCCGTATAAACGTGCTTGGCCGGCTCCAAATAGCAGCAGAGCAGATCTCTTCAATGGGGAGTGCCGATGCAAAAGCTTTTGATGCGGCTACTGCCCTGACCGAAAGTGAGCCTTCAACCCCTCAGGGGAGGCTTGCCCTTAGCCTGATAAGCGCACAAATATATTTAAACTAGCCAGCGAGAAAGTCTGCTTGCTCGCTGGCACACCAGCCTTCCCGCCACCGTAACAACAGAACAGCTGGGTACCCGTGCACGGATTCCCTGCGCTTAGCTTGATATAGACTTTGAGCGCCTTAACGGACATCCAACGGGTGAGTGCTCGTGGAGTGGTCCCCGGCGTGCAAGGCTGGGTAAGAGTAGGAAGTTAGATAGGAGCTGTCACATGGAAGCGTGGATCGACCTTCGGGTCGGTAAGTATCTTGGAGGCTTAATACTGACACGATCCGCGGTGAAACACAGTCAGCACCGGTCGGACGACATAGCATGTAAATCGCCCGACCCTACGTCCAGATGTTACCGCCACCAGAAAACAGCTTTCCAAGTTAACAACTGAATGGAAATAGCCAATAGGTGTGAGAAAGTTGGACCGACAGCCAATCTAGCACAATTGACAAATCCTAAGGTGGACTGGTTCGCCTGAGCGCAGGTCGAATCCGTTCAGCGCCAGCAAGAAAGCGCCAGTACGAGAGGGTGCTGCCCCAGAAGAGCACCATCGACAGGGGTGTGAAAAGTGGAAATAGCGGTGGAGTAGCCACGCAATGGTCGGGCCGCCAGGCCTTCTTCCAAACGAGCTTGCAAAAACTCCAATACTGACTAAATCCGCAGAAAAGGGATCTGCAATGCCCCTATCTGAACACCAGCGCCGCATAGCGGGACCACCTATCCTCGTACTGAACGCTTGTCGAATCCCACCGAAGCCAGAATTGTGTCTGCAACTGCTGCAGGAATTCCAGCGTGCCTCGAGGTTAGACCTGACAGAGGCCAAGCCACCCACTGAATCCGTGGATTTGGTTGGGGCACTCTGCTCTGAGTAAAGGTAATAGAACAGGAGGCTGAGCCAGAAACCTGAGAATTACCGGAAACCAGCTCTGTGGACGGCCAAAGCGGTGCCAGTAGCACAAGCAGCCGAGCTGGCTGGGTGGACAGCTGTGAAAGGACACGGGAATGAGTGGTAACGGGGAACGCCCAGAGCACTTTGCCCGTCCAATCCAGCAGGAAGGCGTCGGCAGCCAACGCCCTGGGTCCGGTATCCGAGAGCAGAACACGGGTGTCTGATGCAAACAGATCCACCTGGAACGACCCGTACAACTGGGAGATTACTCTGAAAATCTGCCTGTCAAGCATCCACTGCAAGGGCCAGGATCCGCGAGAGAGCGCGATCTGCTCGCGACGCTCTCCAGCCCCGGAGATAAACAGGGAGTACCTGACAGTCGCACTGATCGCACCAGAGGAGAAAGTCCCACGCCTCCCGGAGGAGCTCTGGGGACACCGTGCCTCCCTGCTTCAGGATGTACGACATGGCCGTCTGGTTGTCCAACTGAAGACGGACTACCTGGCCACGGACATGCTCTCTGAAGCCGAATACCAACCGCACAGCTCTCAGTTCCAACACGCTGATGTGAAGGTGGGCTTCGCTTTGGACCAGAGTCCGGACGACAGACTGCCCAGAACACCCCCAGCCCGTGAGGGACGATCGGTCTGAACTGTGAGAGCTGGCGTCGGGATTTCCAAGGGGATCCCCCTGGTGAGATTCCCGACATTTGTCCACCACTGAAGGTGAGGTGTCAACCACTCGGGGACTGTGAGACTGCGCTCCAGATCCTCCACAGCCGAGCCAAAGCTTGCTGTATAGGACGCATCCTCAACCGCGCCCGCCACACTACAGAGATCGTCGCCGCCATATGGCCCAGTAGACGGAGCCAAGTCCGTGCTGGTGCCTGGGGCTGGGAGAGGAACGAAGATACCATCTCCCAACTCTGGTGATCCGGGTCGGGCGACAAGGAAACGAGATCCTTGTTCGCTTGAATCGCGCCCAAGAAAACCAAGTCCTGGGTGGGTACCAGGTCGGATTTCTTGAGGTTGATGATCCACCCCAGTCGAAGTTAGAATGTCTATCACTGTGTGAGTAGCATCTTGACTCGCTGGCTGAGTTAGTGATCCGAGCAACCAGTCGCCTAGGTAAGGGTAATAACGCCTTCCTTGCTAACAAAGCTAGGGTAGCTGGGACTAACATGAGCTTGGTGAACACCCTTGGGGCAGTCGATGTGCCGAAGGGGAGCACCCTGAATTGGTAATACATCCCGTCGTAAGAGAACCGAAGGTACTACTTGAACGATGGATGTATTGGTACATGCAGACACGCATCCTTTAGGTCGATTGACGTGAGCCAATCGCCGGGCTGAACAGATGAGA